TGCCACTAGAGGGCAGCAGGGATGTGGCTAGGAGGCTCTATTCCTGTCCTGGATGGGAGGAGGGCTGGGAAAAGTGCATCCTGGGATGCTGGAGGATTGCAAATGGCTTGTTTGAGCTCTGTGGAGCAGGCTAAAGTTACCCTAACGTGAGCTGGGTAGCATGGCCCAGAGTTAATCCTCACCTGAAGTGGTGTTACTCTGAAACGCTCAGAGGGCAGTAAGCGTGGCTTAACGAGCTTTAACGTGCAGACTCGCATTTTAAGTGCCTACTATGGTCTAAGCATAATGTGTAACTTCACCCACAAGCACAAAAGCGAAGTCCTGGGCGCCATTCCACCTCAAGTCAATGGGAGGGTTTCTGCAATGTGGCTAGGCTGGGAGAAGGACCAGTGCACCAAATCCTGCTTTTACTACTACGCAGAACGACGTATCGACACGCAACCCTGGGACTGGGAACAGGCTTCCGCTTACCTGGAGCAAGCACCTCTCCGAATCCCACATGCACAGCGCTCTGTATGCGTGGGAAGAGCCCGCCTTAAGCTTTCTGTACCTCTTGAAGGCTCCTTACCTGCTCCCTCAGAGCACCTTCTGCCTCTAACAGTAGCTTTAAAATGGCCAGGGCCTCCCTCGGGGTACGCAGTTAAACAGCAGCACAACAGCAGTACAAAGCACACAGCGGTGCATAAAGTTAAGTAGTTGGCCCCAATGTAAGCAATAGGCAAAATATTGGGACTGGAGTCATGTTATGCCATTCAGTGAATGCTGCCCTTATCTGATAGGCACGTAAGTGAAGCAGGCTGCACTCCCAATGTTTCCAAACAGGAGTCATTCGTAAATGCAGGCAGAACCTCTGAAGGCTGGTGGGGAAAGTCACCAGCTGCTCGGCAGCGTTGGAACGGTTTGTAATCAAAAGCAAATCCCTTTTGAGCCAAGCGGCAAAGGCTATAAACCCAGCCGCCTGCACCTTTCCTACCTAGAAGAGGCCCTGGATTTCTGCTCTACACAGAATCAAACGGTCCATTCCCACCCAGAAGAAAAAGGTACCCAGTTTCCAGATGAAATCAGCTTTCTCCCCCAGCCCCGATCAGATGCATGCCAGGTAGTGAAATCGTATGTGCGCGGGTGCCCCTGGAAGCCCTGCCTTCCATTTTTACCTCCTTTCATATGCCAAGAGGGCGGCCCCAACGGAAGCAGACACACCGAGAGAAGAGAGTGGAGCTACGATTTACACAAACAATTTCCTACCAAAAAATCTGCACATCCTTCTGTGCTTTCAACCCTCTGAGCCCCAAACTCAGAAATCCACGGACTGCAAAACGGTGGGCCATGATACTCTGAACGCTGCTTGCCCAAATCCCGCATCTGCCCCAGCCCCATCAGACATAGGCTCTACCTGCCCGGCTCATTGGGGGGTGGAGGCCTAGAGAAGGCCGGTTTCATAGCAGCGCTGGAAACGACACTTAAAATAAAGCCGCTCTGCTTACCTCGCATTGAACTTGCGATCCTCATCGCTGCCAACCTCCAGCTGAGGGGAAAAGAGACACAGAATACATCATGTATGGGCTGCTGCCTCCACTTGAAGATAAAAATTCCCATGCTTTTTTCAGAACTTCCCCTCCCTCTCTTTTTTCTGTAGTGCCCCACAGAAAACTAACACTTCCCAGACAGCCAAATTACCAGGGTGCCAAAAATAGCATTAGAGTGACGGTGTAGCTGTGATGGTCCAGGAATGATGCACGAGGCAGGGATGTTGGGGGGGTGATATCCTCAATTGGACCAAATGTATGGCTGGAGTAAAGTGAGACAAGCTCTTGAATGCAAGACATTGGGAAGGCACTCCAAGGACCTTTGAAGCCATTAGACTCCAATCCTAGATGCCAAGAGGGAGCCAGCTGACAAGAGCATGAGAACTGCCATGTCCTGGGTCAGACCCTAGGTCCATCTGGCCCGGCATCCCACGTCACACAGCGGCAGAGTGCAGATGCCGAAAGGCAGAGTGACTGGGGTAGGACCCGTGTTGCAGCCGCCAACTCTCTGGCCACAGCATGAATGCATACACCCCGCTCGCTCTGACGTGACTAGGGGCAAAGCGAATATCTGAGAGCAGAGTTTGGGCCCATGTATCACACAGTCAACAGAGTTATATGCAGTGGCGCATCACTCAGCGTCGGTGCTGTCTACAAGGGGCAAGCAAAACCGTCCGGCCATGGATCACAGATCCTAGCAACTCCAGGCAGGGGCTGCGCTTTGAGAGCAAGGTCCAAATCCTACCTTCACTTGTCCAGCGACATTGCGATAATGGGCTATTTGAACAAGGAAGGCTACGCACTGTAACCGTTGTCACCTTGGTCACAAGGCTCCCTTGCTCTTACAAACAATACGAAAGCCCAATGCAAATGCTGGGGCTGGGAGCAAAGTTGTCTTTTACGTGATTCAACAGGCACGATTGCCTTTAGACTTAATAAATAAATACGTGTGTGTGGGGCCTGGTTGGTTCTTACTAACATTTGCAGTGCAGTCGAACCTAAAGACCATGGCCAGGTAGCACCCCCTCGTGGCAGGCACTGTACAGAAATGCTTCCAGGCGTTCTCTGTCGACCTGTTTTATAATGCCACAACATTTGCTTTCAAAAAGCCTGTAAAATCAGCAACCCGATTCCGGCGGGCCAGCATGACGCCTCTGGGGGTGCCTGGAAAGACAGCGTGTTGCTCCCAGCTAGCTCGCCCTTGGCTAGGGGATACTGGCCTGATGCTATGCCCATTTCTAACACAACCCTGCGTGATCCAGGTATTCAACAGACCCAATTCAGAGTACCCAAAAGCCACCTCAGACGAACGCAGCTGATGGAGATTGGGAAGGGGGGAAAAAATGCACCGCCTCTACTTTGAGCGTGTTGGCTTTGTGCGCGCAATGCCGCAGGGTGCAGAATCACCTAGGCCCCGATTTGGGATCAAACTCCGGCACGGCAACCCTGCGGGAACCAACCCAGAGATTTCAAGAAATCCAGGAGCTACGCTGCATAAAGGCTCTTTCTGCCCTCAGCATGTTCTTCCCCTGGTTTGCTTGGGGCCGTCGCACAGAGACAGGGGACGAGCAAAACCCTTGCACAGAACCATAAAAAACAAGGGTGGAAAGGACCTCGGGAGCCCAACCCCTGCTCCAAGCAGGACCAGCCTCAACTATGTCACCCCAGCCAAGGTTTTGTCAAGCCGGTCTTAAAACCCTCCAAGGATGGAGAGTCCACCACCTCTCGGGTCACCCGTTCCAGACCCTCCTCGTGAGAAAGTTTCCTAATCTCGAACCTCCATTTCCCTCCCTTGCTGCAGCTTGAGCCCATTGCTCCCTGCTCCGTCACCAGCCACCACTGAGACCAGGCCAGCTCCAAAGGTCCTTTAAGGACCTCGTGAAACCCCCCGTTGGCTTCCAGAGGGTCCCACAGCGGGGGACAGGGCTTGAAATGACTTCTGACTTATCGTGTCCGAACAACGAGGTTTCAGGTCGACTGCCCCATCATCAAAACAAAGCGAAACCAAGGCGAGCGCGCCGTGAAAAGCATTACCCGTGAAACGCCGCGCTCCCTGACTCGTGTGCGCTCTCCGGAGGGAGCCTGGGCACGGGCCGCCGAGGACTGAGACCCCGAGGATTCACGGGGCTGGCGAAGAAAAGCCCCGATACGGACCCATCGCCGGCAGCACCGCTCGACCAGCCGCGCGTGCCCAGAGGGGCATCCGCACGCCTCTGAGCGCCGGAGCATCTTCCAGGGACAGACCCGCCCTGCACGGGGCTGCGATCAGGGCCGCGGGCAGGCAAGGAAGGATGTGGGGCCATCGATAACGATTACGATTCGCAACTGCGCTAACCGCCTTTCTCAGATAAAATGGCAGGAGGGTTTCGGGCTCGGAGCGACGCGACGGCTCTCTCGAAGACAGCGCCGTCCGTCCGGTCGGGGTCACCGGTTCCTCGGACCCGCTGTGGCAGCTCCCTCGCGGTCATCTGTGCTTCTGGGGGGGGAAGTCCCTCTTCCTAAAGGCTGCCCGTACTCGCTCTGGCGTCCGCAAGCCTGGCGAGGTCCGCTATCGTGTCAGGGACACGCGGACTCCCAGTTTCAGCCGTGTCAAGGAGGGGCCGGCGTGCCACTCTGCGCGCCGCCCCGACCGCGGCGGTCTGTCCCACGACGTGCAGACGGGACCCCGAACCGTCACGTTGCCAGGTGGGCAAACATACCCCATCCTGCGCCCCCTCGCCGAGCTTGGCCCGACACTGGCGAGGTCCGCTATCGTGTCAGGGACACGCGGACTCCCAGTTTCAGCCGTGTCAAGGAGGGGCCGGCGTGCCACTCTGCGCGCCGCCCCGACCGCGGCGGTCTGTCCCACGACGTGCAGACGGGACCCCGAACCGTCACGTTGCCAGGTGGGCAAACATACCCCATCCTGCGCCCCCTCGCCGAGCTTGGCCCGACACCTCCCCACGGAGACCCCCCCTTCCCCGCGGTGTGGCGGCGGCGGGCCCGAGGGAGACCCCCGCGCGCGGGGCCCACA